TACACCCCCCACCCTTCTACCCCGAGGTCCATATAACCATTGCACATAATTGACCATTTTATTCCCCATGTCATTGTACCGGCCTGAAAATGAATGACTGAAAACATTATTTGCCCATACGACTTTTCAATCGTGAAAATGGGAATTTTTGCAGAATTCTCCGATGAGTGACTGTTTTGCTTCTTAGTTATGCAAACCAGACATAGGAGAAAATAACGTTATGCAATGGGCATAGTCATGTGTGTAATTATGCCAAAAACAACATTCCAAGTGCATGCATGAATACGAGACGCCCTAAGACTGCGAGCAGCCGTGGATTTGCAAAATATAACAGCCGACAACACAAGGATTTGTCAAAACAAGGCTTCCGTCAAAATTACACGCACTTCGGAGATGAAGAGGATAATGGCTGAAGTTGAGGTTGTGGAGGGTCACCCGCACGGAACCGAAAGCGGCAATTTGAGAGCTGATTGGCTTTGCTGAAACTCAGAAGAAAAGAGAAAAAAGTAAAACCCAGCTAGAATTTTCTGGTTATGGGGAAATAGGATCTGGGGACATAAATTGGTGCTCCGTCAAGGGAACCAGCAACAAAATACGGGACGACAACAATAGAAGCGTGTTGGTGCTACCAATGCGCGAACAGGAGTCTGCTCACGGAAAATCTACCCCCACTGCCGCGCCAACAGAAGGTGAGGTAACGCGTGAATCCCGAGGACTGAAACCTGCGCATCGAAGTTTGCACTTTCCTAAACAGTGTGTACTCTTTAGTTAATGTATAAATGTGAGAATTCAAATTTTGAGCGGCAAGTGACGTTTCCACGTTAATAGCTGTAGTGAACCATATCTGCGTTTCAATGCATGACATTAAACTGATCTGAAGATACTTACAAAAACAACCTTCGCACACTAAAAAAAACTGTAATTTTTTTCTTTTCGTAAACTACGTGGAGTAAGACTTAAAAAAGCACCTAATATTCAGAAAATCGGAGGTTAATTTTTTAAAGTTCAAAATTATAAATCCGCATGACTGTATGTCATCGGGGTAGTTAGCACGTTGAACCTTTGTTTTACCGCACCTGTTCTTCTGGCACATGCAAGTGTTGTGTAAGTAAAAACGAAAGGGTCTTATAGGTAGGCGACTGTTTTAGACAGATTTTGTGCGATCTACCTTCTGAAGGAAGGAAGAAGAGAATGCCATCCCCTTCTCCCCGGGTAGTCGCCGGATCACTCTCGATTGTCCAGTTTTCTTAGGCCGTAGACGGAGCACACTCTGGCGAA